AATTCAAGATGTAATAACTTTTTAATTAGACTTGCAAAATTTCTAAAATTGTGCACAGTATTTTTTTAACTGTCAGAACTTCAATGCTTTGTGATTGTTTTTATGTAAGGGTTCATACAACCTTAATGTTTACCTCGTCTCACCCGAACGTTTCATTATTCGTTTTATTTTCTCGCAAAAGATTCCAAAGTTAAATTGCACCACACGATCAATTTGTAACACGATGCGTAGGCAAATAGAACCGCGTAGAGACGCATAGAATAGCATTACTTACGCACATAATAGAGAAACGAGAAAACCGAGTTCTACTGTATTTCTGCCGGTTCAAAGGATTACTCTCTCTCGCAGGTAGTCGTCAACGCTTTGGTTCAAGCCATTCCATCCATTTTCAACGTGTTACTAGTGTGTCTTATCTTCTGGTTGATCTTCGCCATTATGGGTGTACAGCTTTTTGCCGGGAAATATTTCAAGGTACGCGAACTCGCGTTTTAAAAATCGCGAATGGGTGAGTACAGGCACGGGGAATCTCTTCTGTACAAATAAAAGATTCCCCGTTTCTGAGTAAACAGGCATATAAGAGTAACGAATTTTTCAATCGCAGTGCGTAGACGCGAACAAAACCACGATGAGCCACGAGATAATCGCCGATCGAAACGCCTGCATCACCGAAAACTACACCTGGGAGAACTCGCCGATGAACTTTGACCACGTAGGGAAGGCGTACCTTTGCCTGTTCCAAGTGGCCACGTTCAAAGGATGGATTCAGATAATGAACGACGCGATCGACTCGAGGGAGGTGAGTGTCTGCCTAATTGCAAGCTCGTTCAGCTTCCGTCTGTTCGACGAATCTGACACGAAATCTGACATGATTAATTGGACCGTTTATTTTGAAAATGGTCTAAGTCCATTTTTGAGAAAAATGAGATATCACGTAATTCATGCTTAATTTAGCATAGGAATTGGACCGTTTATTTTGAAAGTGGTGTAAGTCCATTTTTGAGAAAAGTCCATTTTTGAGAAAAGTCCATTTTTGAGAAAAGTCTATTTTTGAGAAAAGTCCATTTTTGAGAAAAATCCATTTTTGAGAAAAGCCCATTTTTGAGAAAAATCCATTTTTGAGAAAAGTCCATTTTTGAGAAAAGTCCATTTTCTCAAAAATGGACTTACACCACTTTCAAAATAAACGGTCCAATTCCTATGCTAAATTAAGCATGAATTACGCGATATCTCATTTTTCTCAAAAATGGACTTACACCACTTTCAAAATAAACGGTCCAATTCCTATGCTAAATTAAGCATGAATTACGNTTTCTGTGTGATGCAAATGGGTTAAGAAAATGATAGCAAGTCTCACATTATGAGCTTCGGTTATAACTGTTATCATCTGTGATAAATAATTGTCTGTGTTCGCTTGGGACGTGCACAGGATAACGAAATTTGTATACGCTTTGTGTCTATTTTTCAGTGGAGGCCGCAGGCGATAGTATTCGAAATAGTGACGGACAAAAAGTTCGATATGATAATCATGTTGTTCATCGGGCTGAACATGCTCACGATGACGTTGGACCATTATCAACAGACCCAGACGTTTAGCGACGTGTTGGACTATCTGAACATGATATTCATTGTGATATTCACCAGCGAGTGTCTCATGAAGATCTTCGCCCTGCGTTACCACTATTTCAAGGAGCCATGGAACCTCTTTGATTTTGTTGTTGTTATATTGTCAATATTAGGTAATGTAATGTAATGATTAGTTCAGTCGTATGGCTCACGTGAAATTGCCCGATTGACCATTCGAAAAGCGAACGTTCCTGTTAGCTTTAAAAACAACATTTACGCACACGTTTACGCAGACTTTTTCTATCCTCTTTGATTCTACTCTCGACGGAAATGAGCATGTTCGATCTAGATCTGTGCACGCAAACCTAGTAGCAATTATTATTAATAGAAAGCGTACAGGACAGATATTTCACGTGTGCCGCAACGACTGATCAGCGTCATTACGTTACGTAGCCTTACATTGATGTTGTGCGTTAACCCTTCCCGGTTCGTCTCCCGATCCTGACTCCCTTGCAGTTGGAAACGTGTGCCCAGTCGTTCGATGCAACGTTCATCACCATCTTCCAATTAATTTAGAATTAGTCCAACCGAGGTTGTACGAGCCACAAGATCTCTCCGTTCTTTCCCTCTATTTTATCAAATTTACAATTTTTTACAAATTCTACAATTCTCACTTTTTTTTAAGAAATAATTATCAAAATTAACACATTGCTGACCGGCAACTTTTCTGAAAATTTTCCTCATATGCCCGGCTA